GAATTAGTACCGCGGTTTTCACGAGAAACAAACGCAAAAGCGTAATTTGGGAGCATACCAAAGCTAGGGTGCTGGTACCGGAATAAGGTCCTGGAGGAGGTGCCATTACGATTGAATTCAGTTGGGGTGGAAGAGAGGAACGAAGAATGGAAGGTAACTACGAACCAATATGAAGAAGAAAACAGTGCTTCACAATCGTGATTATGGAACCCTAGGGAAGGTAAGACAGAAGAGAGAGGGTGACCTGTCAGCAGCACAGTGTTCGTTTAACAGACTGAGACTAAGTTTCAGGCCCACTAGGCCCATAAATACTTAACGCAGGCCCCAAATTCAGATCCAAAAACTCCGTTTCGTTTGAACACTGTATTGCGATATATTCTAACGAAAGAGAAATATTGATTAACGATATAATATACAAAAATATTATTATTTATACTTTTTAAAAAATATATACAACTGTAAAATATCAATAAAACATAAAGTATACACGTCTTTAACTATGAAAAAAAGTTTATTTATGAATATGTGTAAAATGTTTTGTAACTAAAAGTACTGATGATTATAACATAATTAATAATAAATTATATTTAACAGTACTTGGAAAAATTATTTAATAATAATATATAATATGAAAATTTATAATATGATATTTAAACTATTATTCTATCACATCGGCAGTATAAAAAACAGTAACTCTTTATTTTTGCCACTCGGATTTATTTTTTTTTTCATTTTATTTATGAAGTGAAATATCTATTATTTTAAAAAATTAAACTTAATCAAATAACCTAACATGACTTAAGTTTTTTTTTCTTAGTTATATTTTATTTATTTACTATACTTTCAAGACCCTTTGAAATATTCCTTCGGTATTTAATTTACTTAGACATAATTTCCCAATTAAAATATTTACCTCTTTATATTTGTTACTAACTTTGAAGAAAATCTATATTTTACTTTAAAATTGTGGTCAATGACACTCACATTCATAATTTGAAGTTTGGTTTAGTTTATTTCGATATATATATATATATTTAACCTCAACAATCCTAATAAAAGAAAATACATATATATTTAACCTCAACAATCCTAATAAAAGAAAATACTAATGAAAGAATGAGTGAGTTAAATTTCAGTTTTATTATCTTACAAATAAATAAAAAATCACAAAATAATTAAAAAAAGAATGACATATATAACTTCAACAATCCTAATATAAGAAAATACTAAATGAAAGAATAAGTATAAAAAATTATGTCAGAAGTGGGATTTGAACCCACGCCTTCTCTCGAAGACCAGAACTTGAGTCTGGCGCCTTAGACCACTCGGCCATCCTGACTTTTGATTTTATAGTTTACAACTAAAGATTATATTGCCATTCTGACTTTTGATTTTATAGTTTACAACTAAACATTATATATTGTTGCGTTTTTATTGGGCTAAAAAGAAAGGTAAACTATATGATAAAAAACCTATAAGAGTATTGAATATTAAAAAAAAAAATTGTCAAATAGGACTATTGGATTGGGTTCTTGATTGGTTAATATAGTCTTGATATACACTCCATAACATATAAAAGAACGTGTTTGATATATTTGTTGTAAAAAGAAAGAGAAAAAAAGTGTTCAATATGAATATATTTAGGATTTCTAGATTTTTATTTATCTATTTATTTATTTTTGCTACTAATAGGTAGTACCATCTTAGAACTTCACACTTGATGATATACGTGCATGTATTATAATATTACAAATTCAACTCAAGTTTTTTTTTTTTTTTTTTTTCCTCAGCAACGGCTGTAACCACGCCATAATTAATAAAATTCATAAAAGATAACAAAATTTCTCTTTCATTAGTCATTTCCACGAGACTGTTCTAATTAAAATCTCGAGTTGGGAAAACATTCTCCCATGAAATAATGACGAGGACCACATTTTCCACCATGTTCCTAGTATATTAATAATTTAATTAATGGGTTATTTTTTTAATATTTAATATTTTCTATATTATTTTATTCAATATCCTTATTTTTTATATAAAATTAAATCGAGAATAAATAGAGATCACGAACTAGGTAAGGTGCGACTAGCTAAGTTGTTAGTTTTAGTTTTTCAGTTTGTTTTCTTTTTCCCTTAATTTTTAATTTAGTAGTGTTTTTCAAAAATATATTCATATATTAAAATGAAAATAAAATTATAATTAAAAATATTTTATTTTTGTGTGTCATATTATTAAAATATGCAAATTTATTATAATCTTATAATTTAAATAATATTAATGAAATTTAAATTATTGATTATAATTAGATATTATAATTCAAAAATACAATAATATTTTCAATTTATTTAATAAAAACATTAATTAAAAAAAACTTAAAAATTATTGTGTGCTTTTAAAAAAAATTATATATATAATATCATTAGACTAGCTCACCAACTCGTCTTTGAATAAAAAAAAATTGTAACTGTTTTGACTGTAATAAACTAGTTTGTTTTATTCCATTTTTGACGAAATAGAGATAAGGTGAATAAAAATAGGTAGAGTATCTTATTTTGTCTGCAGATGACAAAACATGCAAGAGCCCGTCTAAAAATTGAGGTCCGTTAATCCATTTTAAAAAATATTTATACATTAAAAAAATTATAATTAAAAATATTATATTTATACGTTATGTTATTAAAATATGTAAATATATTATAATATTATAATTTAAATTATAAAAATAAAATTTAAATTATTGATTATAATTAGTAATTTTAATATATAAATATAATAATTTTTTTAATTTATCTAATAAAATATTAATTAATAAATAAAAACTTTAAAATTATATATATATATTAGACTGGTTCGTTGGTCTGATAATTAACCCTTTAACGAATGAATTGAGATTTGTAACTTATCTAACTTTGACATATTAGTCTACCTTGTGTTAGACGACATACCAAAATGAGAGAAATTGATATGTTTTGGCACGAGACAAAAACAAAAGATAAAGACATATCATTTAAAATTTAAAAGTCGATAATATTACTTAGATTGTACTACATTTTTTTTCATTGTAATTGTGCAATAATGGTTATCGTTAGTTTCTTATAAATACTAATAACAGAACTCAGTGTTGATATATAACAAATACTAATGTTTTTATATTTCATAAATAAAATATAAAATAAAAAAATTAGAATTCTTGAAGCTTGGAAACTATTTTTTTACTTAAAAAACAAGTAAACAATAAAAAATATATTTATTTGTTACAGAATTGTCAAATATGAAAAAAGTCGTATTTCAGGTTTAATAGAGTAGTTTATTTAAGTAAATATAAATATTCTCTTTTGTTAGTGTTACTACATTAATTTTTATAATATTTAATTATCTTTTTGAAAAAAAAGAAAAAAATTATCGTATACAAGTTTGGTTAGACTCTTGCAGAGAATTTCTAACTCAAACACTGCAGTCCAACCTACATATTTATCCTCTCATGCTTTGTAGTGACTAATATTTATAGTTTGTTGTGATATAGAGATATTTTTCATTGGTCATTTAGTTCATTAGTCTATTTAGAAGTAAATTATTTAAAAAAAAAAATTAAATAGACTAATAAATCAAACAAAAGTTTTGAAAAGTCAAGTTAAACCTAAAATATTGTGATAAATAAAAAATAAGCTTAGCCTTTTTTTTTTTAAATTAATTAGACCTATTAAAATCTTAATTGGCGCCATTCATTTCTACTCATCAAATGTTATATTAGATCACAACATTGTGACAGTAATACTTAAAAAGTACACACTATTATTTTAAACAATCCATACAATTCCTATAAACAATTCTCTTTTAATATTATAATAATAATTTTGCTTTATCCTATAAACAATTCTCTTTTAATATTATAATAATAATTTTGCTTTATTTTTATTTTTATTCAATCATTTTATAGATTATTATATTAATAAAAATGAGTTGTTTGAAGGATTGTATGGTTTCTGGTTGTTAAAATATCACCACTCCTATTTTTTTTGTGTATATAAAAATTATCTGAGAAAAAAATATTTTGTATAATTATTATAATCTAAAAAATATAGTTTTCACGGGTTTGTTTGATTCAAATTTAGATGCACTTAAAAAATAGTACAAGAAAGACACTTAAACCACTAAACAACTTTCTATTAAATGCATTGGCTAGTGAGTGAAGAAAAAAAATTCACCACAATGCTCTTTTAACATTATTACTTGAATATAATTCATATTAGTTATTTGAATATAATAATGAGTAGTATTGGAAATTCATATTAAATATCTGAATTAAACAATGTAGTAGTATGAGCAAAAACAATATGGATAATTATCTGAACCTAGGTTTGTGAAAGAGATATTGTAAAATGACCCAAATTTTATGTTTTTATTTACTCACAATCCTGTAAAATTAACTTTTCGTATCATTGTTTTACAAATATTCAGAAGTGCGCAATTATAAGTTAAGCTATAAGATATTTTCACCTGCATATACTAGTATAGTGTAGATTTCGTCAGAAGATGTCGGTCCGGTCCTCTTATTTGAATTATTGATTTTGACTTCGATGTGATACATTGAACTTTTTATATTAACTTATTCCGAACGGCATAGAAAATTATAACACATCCACAACAGAATGATGATTTTTTACAAAAAGAAAGTTTGAACAGTTTTCTAAATGTCATCATAAAACAAATCATGTCCAAATAATGCTTACAATTTAATATATATATATATATATATATATATATATATATATATATATATAAATATATATACTGAAATTAAATATGCTCTATAATTTAGATATAGGACAGGAATTAGAACTTGTATATGAACTTTCTGCCCGAGTTGGACAGGTAATGCGAATCAAACATCATACCATAACAATTAAGGAAAACTTTCTGTAAATATGCGAAAATGAGTGCAATAACAGCAGCGAATATATAACCAACCAACCGTTCAGCTTCAGGACCTCCTTCCCAAGTTATTGTTTTATGTCGGAATTTGAATTGCCATTACCATTCTGGTGGTGCTGCTGTTGCTGTTGGAGATTAATGTTTTGTTGGGATGCAGTGGGAGGCTGCTGCTGGAACATCATAGGATTGACAGAATGTTGAGGAATCAAACAGCTAGAACCATGCGAATCCCCACTCAGTTCAGCTGTAGCAAGCTTTAGTCTTTGAACCTCAGCAGTAAGCGCCTCATTTAGAGCTATTAGAAGAAAATAGAGTGTAAAGATTAATCAGAAGGAAGCAATCGATGATTTCTACTACTCCAAAAAAACGCATACACGATGAACACGCGTCACTTTCAAAAACAGTCATTGTTATAAATAATTTACATATCGAGCTTCCATGCAAAGGAAATCTCATGTATGAGCATAGTATTTCTAAACTCCCCTCAAGATTTTTGGACAAAAATAACTGAGCAGGTCACTTAAAACATCAGCTTCTAACATCCTAGAATTCCTACATGCCATTTTTATAATTCCATCTACATTGGTAGCTCATCAACCGTGTTGCTCATAAGACAAACTTCAAAATAGAAAGGCCTTGGATATGAAGCATTTCAGTCAGATTCAATGGGGCTAATATTATTAGCAAAATGATTTGATGATACGCTTATAATGAGGACAGCATTATTAGCATTGTATCTGCGCCATAAAGCTCCACTAAATAGAGAAAAATTAATAAATGGATCAGTAATAAACTAATTATTATCCCCAAAAAGTTAGGTGGTGAAGGCTCATGAATGATTTTTATATACGAAACACGACCTTCCCCAGGAATTCCCTTTATCGGGTGTGGCAAGAATGAAACTCCTACCCGTTGGATAATAAAGTTCTGGTATCAAGAACCAAACTGGCCTCAGAGTTTAAACTGTTAGGTGAGAAGTCATGATCGATCATTATTTATGAAAGGTTCGTAACATATTTTATAAATAATACTCTGAATAGGATTAGTAATCGGAAGGAAAAATCAAGTTAACAGAATGACATCAAGTAAAAGCCCTGGTCTTCATACATAAAATTTACTGGAAAAAATAAAATTGAGAACTAATGTAAACTAAAATCCCAAATCAGATTGAGGATAACATTTATCCCAACAACTTGAAGGAACTACATGAACTTCTATACGCTACTGTCTATACTTCTATCACGCTTCCATTATGGCAAAAACACGCAATAAAATGGGTTATCACCTCTTAAACATCATAAAAGTAAACAATGACAATTTTATCGTTAATTTCATGTTGTTTGAACTTTAGAAGCCATCTGCCGAATCGTTTCACCCTACTCTCGCACTCTTCGCAAGAAGTATTCACATGCACGTTGACATGGAGCATAATCTAAAATGCTAAGACTAGCTCAACCAAGATTATAAGTGAACAATCAACTACTGATACCTATCACAGATCGATAAAACAAAATGCAGAGAAAAATTGAAAAACTACGAATGAAAGGGCAGAAATACCATCTCGGAGCTTTGCTTGTTGTTCCATGGACTGAAGGCGAAACTTCAACTCGCTGTTCTGGTTAGTGAGTCCAGCAGAATCTCTCTGTGTTCATATAATCGAGAGGAATTCAATCAAATTACAAATCAAAGCCATGATCACAGTAATAATTACTAAATTACCAACAACACAACAGGTTAGGTTTCCACCTGTAACAGGGTAAGCTGTGCAGATAGTGTGGTGGCTTCCGTCTGTAGGGTCTGAACCTTATGTTCTAGCTCAGAAATGTACCGCATCTTCCGCTCTTTGGATCGTGCAGCCGATTGCCTGTTGGCCAAAATCCTGAAAATCACCCGAAAACCTAATCAATCAGTCAACTGGTAACATGAACCATATATGTTTGCATGTTTAGTAGCTATAAGAGAGGATGTGTAATAGCTCAACATCAACACCTTTTTGCACGCTTTGGATCGGTCAAGGCAATCTCAGCAAGTTTTTCATTGGCCATAATTTTCTTCAATTCAGGCCCGCTGAACTCCCCATTTCCAAACTCCAAGCTGAAGGCCGACGAATTCCCATCAACTCCACCGGCTGGCGGAATCAAACCGGTTCGTGGACCGGGAGAAGGTGGCAACTTCGGCGACTCATCACCAAAGTTCAGCTTCGAAATGAAACTATCCATGGAGACACTCCTATAGTGCCTGGTGGTGGGTGCAATCTCCCCACCCGCACTCCTCTTCATCCCTTCCCTCTTCTCACTCCCTCCCTGCCTCACCACACCATCCCCACACTCATTAACACTACTCTCAGCTTCATTATCACTACTGTCACCGTTAGTCTTAGTCCCACTCGCTCTACTATCCAAATCATCGCGATTTTCAGTCCCGTTTTTATCATCGGTTCCAGAAGAGTTCAACGCATCAAAGCTATCCAAATTCATGTAAGCAGAGAAAAGATCATCCACCACTTCCCCTTCAGGGGATTTCTTCTCCCCGGATCCCTCTACATTACTGTGGTCAACACCCCTGTCCCACGGTGTTTCTCTTTTGACCAACTGAGCAGGTTTCGCCAAAACGGGGTTTTCTCTGCCCCGGAGAGGAATAAGCGGTGGCGAAGATTGCAAAACGGTGGAAAACCCAAACGGAATATCACTGTTAGAGCGTCTATGCGCTTTTCGAGGGGGTAAAGGCAAATTGCTGTTGTTTGAGGTGTTGAGTGTTCTGGCGAAAGGTGAGGGTGGCAAGAGGGAATGAGAAGTGACGTCACGATCTTCCATGGACACGTCAGCAGCTTCGGAGACGGAGGTAGAGGAAGAGTCGCGGAAGGGGGAAGGGCTGAGGGGAGGGAGAGAATCCAGGGAGAAAAAGGAAGGTTGCGAGAGTGATCGCGTGTGGGTGGGTGTAGGGGAAATGTTGAGCGACCCCATTTGCTGCTGACGCGTCACCGGGATCTGAGAGTAGGGCGAAATGGGCGGGATCTGGTGCGGGTGCGAAGGTGGTATACCCGCGCGCTTGTTACTGTTCCCACCGTCGAACTGATGCTGATGCGGATGCCGTGCGCGCATTTGCGAGGGGTTGAATTGCGGGATGCTGAGTTGCTCCATGTTCAACGGCTGTCTCAGAAACGAAGAAGAACAGTGTAGCCTCTGCATCATGTCATTCGTCGCTTCTTCATTTTCACCCATTCTCCTCCACCTTCAAATTCCACTTCCAATCAAAATCTGCAACCACAAACCACAATAATAATAATCATCATAATTGAGTAGGCGAGATAGAGTTAGTTAACAAATTATCATCATCATCATCATCGTTGTCGTCGCGATTCCATTACCTTGGCAGTGTTCATCTGGCGATTGGAATAGGGAATGGTGCAGAGGCAAATTGAATTTAATTGATTAATAATAGCAGCGTCGGTCTTGGAAGTGTTAACTTTGTCTGACGGAAATGCCGAAGGAGCAGGCGCTTATCTCTCCAAGATTCACTCTCTCTCTCTCTCTCCAACAAGAGCAACAACGAGGGAAGAAGGGAAGAAGAAAAAAATTAAGCTTCGTGTCTCTCTCTCTCTTTCTCTTTCTGCTTTCTCTCTCTACATCCACGACGATGACTACTACACGGATTTCATGACTACTACGCGTGAATTTAATTTAATAAGCATTTCATTTCGCCCCAATTTGCATTTCGCTCGCATTTCAATTTCATTCCGACCTCATTTGTTTTCTCATACGCCAGGTTTTTCCTCCCATTGTCTCCGCAGCTTATTTAGCCACTCTTTATCCAATCCCCGATGTTTTTTTTTTTTTTCTTTTACTTTTTTTTTTCTTCCCACTTATTGTCACTCTACAGTTTGGGAGTAATAAAAATCTGTTTCTAAGACCTAAAACATCATTTAATAATTTATTTGTCCTTAAATCATTCAAAAAAAGATTATGTTAATTAATTGCATCACATTTTTTTCTAAATTCACGTTTTACTTAATGACGCTGCTAAGCATCGCAAAAGGAAAGCGCGTATTGTTGATTTATTAAACTATCCCTTGATTCTCTACTTCCTATGGGCAATTTTTCAGTAAATACTTTATTTCTTTTTTTGGAAATAATTTAATCACACTACTCTTTCTTCATTCCAAGCTTTAATTTGCAATTTTAAGATGATATTTTTTTTTTGTTTTTAACTTTAGTATATATCTTCCGCATAAATCAACAAAAGTATCTAATTTGACATGGACGGGGCATAAAGGTTTGTTCAGATTCTCATTCCCATGATTCTGTCTGATCTTAACAAAAATACTCTTTTAAGTTTGCATAACCAGTTGTGATATAAGTATATCATCGTCACCGACGAGACAACAACAACAACAACAAAACAAGTTGTGTGGACACTGAAAAAAGATAAACATTCGATGGGGAAATTTTGGTATGAACATAAACCATGGGATTAGGATTTTCTACCCTGTCCAATATCAATGGCACAAAATAGTTCATCAGTAAGAGACATAAAATAGACATTTCTACATCATGGGCCAAAATCATGGACTGTTCTTAGTAGCCCATTATTCGAGAGTTCATCATAGCCCTAGGTCAGTCCAGGTTGCTTGTCAAAACTGGGATTTGTTGAACGGTGTATGATGTCGGAGAAAATTTAAAATATATTTTTGTGAATTTTAATGTATAAAATTAAAAGAGTAATTATTCTTCAACTGAAATCTAAATATGCAAGAGATTGCATCTCCAACATATTCAAAAAATGTAGATTCGGATGTTAAAAAAATATTCGATAGCGGTTTGGATAGAATAATATATAAATATTATTAAAAAAAACTCGTATATTATATTGAAAATTTAAATTATTCTATCCATTTATAAGATAAAATTTTACTGTTATAAATTTTTCGTACGTGAGATCTCCATGGCATTTGTAGTAATATTTCGATGAAATATTCAAAAAACAATTATTAGATAATTAAAAAAAAAACACATGTATTATAAAATGAGAAACACAAATATTTGTAGGCATAATTTAGGAGGTAGCTCATCTTATAAGGTGAGTCACGGGTTTTCTTACTTTAAATTATGTTTTTTTTTTTTATTATTTTAAAAAGTTCAAACTATATATTTTGTGTTTCAAATTTAAGTTTAGTTACACTCGAACATGTTTGCAGACAAAATTTATATTTCAGTCCTGTTATATAACTAATCATTTTATGCTTTATTATTCTTTTTAATTAAAGTTTAATATTCTCGAGTTATTTTAACATTTAATGCTAATACATTTTCTCACTATCTTGTAATATAAAAACATTCAATTTAAATCTAAAAATAATAATTTATATTTTATAAACATAAGTTCCTTAATGACAAGATTTATCATATTATTAATTACTTATATTTTAATATAACTAGATACTTTGAATAAGTTATTAATTTCTTTTATAGTAAATTTTAATAAGGACAAGAAATTTTTTTTATATATATTATATATTTATGAGTTTTATAGTGGGAGGGAGTCGAAATCAACTTTATGTACATTTTTCTCTCTTAATTCATGAGATATCTTTTAAGAATATAGATGATAGCTCTAAAATGGATAATACTTAAAAAGTAGAAATTGACTTTAACAATATCATCTTAGCAAACATGAAATTACTCTTATAATATTTTTAATAAAGATGGATATAAATTATTTTTTAAAATTAAACATTTGAATGCAGTTATATCAAATACTAGTATAAAACTGAATACATAATTAGTGAAATATTTATATCTAAATTAATATCAAAACAAAATAAATATTCATCTACATTTATATATATATATATATATATATATATATATATATTTTACAAAATATTATTACTTATATCTCCTATAAGCCTAGTCATAGTCTTGGATTTATATTCAGGTCAAAGTCTTCTAAAACGTTTATTTATAATGTAGATATTTAGATTTTATGGTCTGAATTGAATTAGATTTTATGGATTTAGGTTATAATTAACTTATATGAGTGGACTCATTTTATAAATAATAATTAATTTTTAAATAAAAATAAAATAAATATTATTTTATTAAAAATATATATTTATTATAAATGAATTTGATAAGAGATTTACTTATTTTAAGAGTAAATATCAAAGTAAATCATTATCAACCACTTGTTTCAAGATCTAATAATTAAGATGAATTATTATTTTAAATTAATAAATTATTACAAAATAAATAATGATAATGAAGAATAAATTTTTAATTCTTATTTTGAGATTAAATGAATACACTCTCATATAATTTATAAATTAAATCATTATATATAAGTTAAATCAAAATTAATTTTATTAATGAAATTTAAAATTTTAAAAAATATTTTTTATTTTTATTAAAACATTTTTTTAATTAATTAATTTGTTATAGATATTGTTAATACTTGTTTTAAAGAAATTCAATCAGGCAAAAATTTGACTTATTAGTCCCATTAGTCTAATGTAAGAAATTAAACTAGGCTACAAATTAACGTTCATTTTAAAATATAGGTTAGACTTTACTATTAAATTTCTTTACTTGACCTGTAAAGTCGGGGTAAACTATGTTGCACCACCCATTTTAACAACTCTTGGTATTTTAGAGTATAATTTAGATTTAAGTGATACAATTTTATATCATCACTCTCTAGGATATGAAGCACAATAAATTGGTAATGGATCATGACAATAATCTTGTAGAGTTGACATTGAAATTTTATATGAATCTTTTGTTGGAAATAAGCTTCACATTAATCTCTTGTTGGAGATAACATTGAAGTCTCACCTAAACTTTTTATTAGAGATGTTACAAATTATTTATTGGACAAAAAACAATTATTAAATTATCTTACTAAAGATATTTGCAAAACTACTTATGAATCAAAACTTTCTAAATATTATATGAGTCACTATCTATCTAATCAAAGATTATCATAAGCAAATAAAATATTTATGAATTTGTTATCTTGTATACCTATCCCTAACAATTTACAAGGTAAAATATTGATGAATTTGTTATCTAGTATACCTATCCCTTACCATTTACAAGTTACAAGAGAAAAGAAGATAAATTCGAATGAGGAGATAAACTTGTTTAAAAAAATAATACTTTGACTTTTGTTGATTGTCCATCATGAAAGAAATCAGTAAAATACAGGTGTATTTACAATATTAAATATAATGCAAATGACATAATAGAAATATATATAAAGTAAAGCTAATGACAAACGGATATACTTAGGTATATATAATTGATTACATATAAATATTTACTCCTTTAGTAAAAATTAACATTGTTAGAGTATTATTGCCTTTAACAATAAATTTAAATTGATCAGTAACGTAACTTGATGTAAAAAATGAATTACATGATAAATTATCTGAATACATGTACAAATAACTCTTAATTGATGCATGATATTCTAAAAAATAGAAAAAAAAAGTATGCAAATATATATATATATATATATATATATATATATATATATATATATATATATATATATTTTGGTTGAAATAATCTCCACACGTGTATGATTTGAAAATCTATTATAATATTTAAATGTCATAAAAGTTATTTAAACCATATTTTATTGTTTAAAAAACAAGAAGATAAGATAATTTATCTTTATTGTATATGTGAATCATTGAAAGAATTTTTTTGGTAATGATTGTTATAGGATTTATCACATTGTTCAAAGAAAACAAAATTGTCTAAAAAATATGTGTTTGACTAATTACAAAAAATATTCATGTCTGTTTATCAACTAACGATTTGTAATTATCTACTACATCAAATAAAATCCCAATTGATAAACAAAATACCAAAAATTTATAAAGAGATTAATGTACTTAACACTAAAACCAAATATTGCCTACATATTAAGTTGAATCATTGAAAGAAAACACAATCAACATCAAACTGCTATAACTAAGATTATTTTTCTAAGATATTAGATATTTATTTACATAACCTTTTAAATTATATCATAACAAATAAAATTTACTGTGACTTTCTTCATAATTTAGTATAATATAATTTAACAAAATAGGTTGAAGTTGATAGATTTTTTATAAAAATAAAAAGTTAAAAGAAAATTTTTAGAATTTTGAAAGATTGTTAACTAATATCTTACAAAAATTGTTTCATTATATTTTATTTGATGATGATAGATA